CCGACAGATGGTCATCCAATGTCAGCCGTGGATCCAGGAGGACTCCCAAGTTGCGCGCCCTCTCTGAGGGGGCCAGGGTTTCGCCCCCTATAGTCAGCGATGGCGTCAGCTGACTATGCCGAGGCGCCGGCAACCACAGCCACTCGGTCTTGGAAGGGTTGAGCCTGAGTCTGTTTCTCCCCATCCAGACCCGTACGGCTTCCAGGCAACGGGCCATCACGTTAAGGGCATGTTGTTGTTAGTTGCGAAGTCGTGTCCGGCCCATTGTGACCCCATGGACAACGTTCTTCCAGGCCTTCCTGTCCTCTACCATCTTCTGGAGTCCATTGAAGCTCACGCCTACTGCTTCAGTGACTCCATCCAGCCACCTCATTCTCTGTTGTCCCCTTCTTCTATTGCCCTCCATCTTTCCCAGCATCAGGGGTTGATCTCCTCTAGGACTGACCGGTTTGATCGCCTTGCAGTCCAGGGGATTCGTAACACATATTCATTCATAATTATAACATGAATTCCATACGCAGATAGTTCTCGACTTACAACTGGAATCAGAATTTCTGTTGCTAAGCGTGGGGGTTGGGAGGGGAGTCCTGCCCAATTTTATACCTTTTTTGGCCACGGTTGTTAAGTAAATCACTGTGGTTATTAAGCGAATCACACAGTTATTAAGCGAATCTGGCTTCTCCTATTGATTTTGCTTGTCAGAAGCCAGCTGGGAAGATCACAAGTGGCAATCCCATGATTCCAGGGTGTTGTAACCATCGTAAATGTATACTGTTTGCCAAGTGTCCAAATTTTGATCACATGACTATGGGGATACTGTATGGCAGAGGTCCCCAACCTTTTGGGCACCAGGGACCGGTTACGTGGAGAGGGTTTTTTCCGTGGACCGGAGGGGGTGTGGCTTTGTGTGCTGCCACCATCCCATGGATGGGGCTTTCCTTGTTTGTGCGGACCGGTTGCTGCCATGCTGCGGCCCGGTACTGGTCCACGGACCGGGGGTTGGGGACCCCTGCTGTATGGGGATACTACGATGCTCATGTGTGAGGACCAGTTGTAAGTCACTTTTTTCAGTGCAGTAGTAACCTTGAACGGTTGCTAAACGAATAATCGTAAATCGAGGACTACCTGGAACGATGCAAATAACACATTGTATTCCACAGCAATCTTCTTGGGTGAGTGTTATTAACATAGGGCCAAACAATTTCTTCTATATTTTTCCCCCCAACCATTCTTATTCAGAAAAGAAATTCCCACAAAGAAAAATAAAAATAAAATAAAATTCTAGGGACTGGGTTTTGCTGCACTTATCTTAACTACAAAGGGGACAAATTACCTTTCGTTGCATAAAATGTCTCCCAGGATATGTGAAAGTCTCTCCATTCAGTAACAAAAGAAAAGATCAACCAGAAACTGCCAGTTTTCTTAGCTTGAAAGAATAAGCAACTAGGGCAGGGGTAGGCAACCTTGGCTCTTTTATTATTATTATTTATTATTATTATATTTGGATTTATATCCCGCCCTTCTCCTCGCGGACTCATGGACTCGTGGACTACAACTCCCAGAATTCCTGAGCCAGCATGGGGGAACTATGGCCCCTTCATGACTTGTGGACTTCAACTCCCAGAATTCCTCAGCCAGCATGGGGGAACTATGGCCCCTTCATGACTTGTGGACTTCAACTCCCAGAATTCCTCAGCCAGCATGGGGGAACTATGGCCCCTTCATGACTTGTGGACTTCAACTCCCAGAATTCCTTAGCCAGCATGGGGGAACTATGGCCCCTTCATGATTTGTGGACTTCAACTCCCAGAATTCCTGTGCCAGCATGGGGGAACTGTGGCCCCTTCATGACTTGTGGACTTCAACTCCCAGAATTCCTGAGCCAGCATGGCTCAGCTTGGAAACCTCTCCCTTTCCCCTCAGCATGGCTGGCTCAGGAATTCTGGGAGTTGAAGTCCATGAGTCATAAAAGAGCCAAGGTTGCCTACCCCTGAACTAGGGAAACCATAGAATTGATAAGAAGATATCACAAGCGACATTCCCGGCCTTCCTGGTCCCCCTTTCCTCCCTCAAATCCTAAAATCAGCTTCAGTCGTTGCCTCAAAGACCTTCTCAAACTTCCTGAGAATGAGGCAGAAAAACGGAAGCCTCTTTTGCCGGAGAAAAAAAATTTCCCGGAATTGCAAGGAGATTTTCCAAAACAGGTTTAAATATTTTCATTAAAGGAAGATATTGATAGCTCAGGGCTGAGATGACGGGCCCTTGGTGCTCTCTGAGTTTGGTGGTTTTCTTGCAGAAGTTTCACTACCCAAACTAGATAACAACATCAGCGCTAGAGCACTGACACGGATGATGTTACCTAGTTTGGTAATGAAACGTCTGCAAGAAAACAACCAGGCTCAGAGAGCACCAAGGATCCCTCATCTTAACGTGAACTACAAATATTTTCCCCAAACATAAGTAGAAACGCTCCATATGCAGGGATGATAAGGAAGATATGAAAGGCAAGTTATTTTTGACTGAACAATAAGGCTAATATTACAACAGACAATTAAAAGTTGGAAATGCAATATGATGGTTCTTGTTCACAACCTACAAGTGTGTAAAGGACCAGGAGGGTGCTGGACCATGTAGGCTAAAACAGACCCTTCTTTTTGCCATCACCTGAATTAAGAGCTGCCCATTTTTTGAACCACTTTGGAAGAGGGCTGGTGTGTGTCTGGAAAATGTCTTCATGTTAGAAAATTAGTGAGGAGAAGTTTTCTGACAATGAGAACAATTAATCAGTGGAATAGTTTGCCTTTCACAGTTGTGAGTGCCACATCACTGGATGTTTTCAACAAAAGATAGGATAATCACTAGGCTGAGATTCTAGAAAGACTCTAGAAAGAGCGCAGAGAAGAGCAACAATGATGATTAAGAGGGCCGGCGGCTAAAATATATGAAGAACAGTTGCAGGAATTAGGTGTGTCTAGTTTAACGAAAAGAAGGACTAGGGATGACATGATAGCAGTGTTCCAATAACTTAGGGGTTGCCACAAAGAAGACGGGATCAATCTATTCTCCAAAGCACCAGAAGGCAGAACAAAAAGTAATGGATGAAAACTAATCAAGGAGAGAAGCAATCTAGAACTAAGGAGAAATCTCCTGATAGAACAATTAATCACTGGAACGGCTTGCCTTCAGACGTTGTGGGTGCTCCAACACTGGAGGTTTTTAAGAAGAAATTGGACGACCATTTGTCTGAAATGGTATAGAGCAGTGGTGGCGAACCTATGGCACGGG